CCAGGGCTGGAACCAGTACCAATAGAGGATATGCGTGCTAAGTATATTCATTGCAAAATAAATGTATTCATTGCATACCGTAATAACTTTCAAGAAAAAAAATTAGTTCGTTGGACGTCAACTTTCCATTGGCAGCAATGGAGAAAAGGTAGAAAAAGGCTTGGTACCAGAAAACCGCTCTGTATTTCTTGATAGCAATCTTTCAGGTGACTACTAGACCCCATTAGATCCTCAGGATGCTTTCTAAGCTTCCGAAAAAGGCCTCAAGAAGGTAGCAAGGCAAGAAAATGTGTTTTCCCCCATTGAACTCTTAATAAACTTGACGTCCAACATGGCGGCCAATTTACTGTGTGGGTTGGATATACGGTACTTAAAAGCTATGAATATACTTAGCACGCATATCCTCTATTACTATTCTCTTGGTCTGTTTCTTGGTCTATCCCTTGCTACACTGGATGTTATTAGCAGGAACAATAAAGGAGATTTTGAGGGTGGTCTACGTGAGTGTCTTACTAAATGGTTAGAGAAAGCTGATGATGTAGAGTGGACTAAAGGTGGTCCTACTATTTATTCATTGGTATCAGCATTGAGGAAATTAGGAGAGAATGGAGTAGCTGATGGTATTCATATCTTTCCTGTGAATGACGTTTCCAATTTATAATGATATTCATTGGGATACCGTAAATAGAAAATTTTACAAGCCGCCATTGTGGAGGTATTGCTGCACTGTTTCCAATGGAGCTCGATGCACTTTCTGCCGTTTTGTATGAAGAGCAAGCAGTTATAGTCTCAAAAGTTAAAAATTGCAACCTTTATCTTTCTTTTCAGTAGTCTGCAACTGTTTAGAGCCACTGGAGTGACGTGGAGAAGTAGAATTGACAGTTTTAGCCTGTCGGTCCATTGTAACTAATGATAGTATACCTCCACAATGGCGGCCTGAAAAATTTTCCATTTACGGTATCCCAATGAATATCATTATAAATTGGCAACATCATTCACAGGAAAGATATGAATAGATATGGAGAGTGAGTTTAATTAAAATGAATATCTTATTTTATTTATTTATTGTTTAGTGCATCCTGCTTGTAGAATTCTTGCTCATTATACCTCAGACCAATATCTTGTGTCTGCGGCATTACCTCAGATGGCTATGCCTTTGTATAAAGAGAAGCTTGTAAAAGAGAGTAATGTATTGGTACTAGACTCTGAGGGTCTGCTGGTTCAAGTAAAGGAAGCTGTATGTATTGATTATAGAAAACTTTTGACATTTGCTGTAATTTTAAGCAAGCTCTCAGCCACTGCTGAGATAGGCAATGCTATTATTAAAGATTACTACAGTAAATACATGAATTATAACATAATACAGTAACTAATGATTGTGGTATAGGAGAGGCTTATGGGAGTAGCATTGATAATAGCAGTAAGAATAATTATGACAAACTTTTCATTCGGATTATTTTCATTGAAAGGGTCAAGATTTATCTTCCTTTGAGTTTTATTGTAAAATTTAAGAAGATGTGATTAA